TCATTCAAGTCAAAGAACGTTCAAAGGCCTCACTCATCCATGATACTTGGTTGTGTGTCACGATGAGGAATTTCTGAAAAATAAAGCAAAAGCAAAAACAAAAAGGGAAATAAACAAAAGTTTAAGTCTTGAAAGTTGTGTCTCATAACATTTTGCATCACATCACATTTCATTTGCATCTCTTGCTTCCTAGAACTTATGACGTAGAGTTTTTAGGCTAAGCACCTACTTCACATTTGACTTTTTATTTAAGCCCAGTATCTGCCTGGCACCAGTTACATTTTCTTTTGTATAAGCCCAGTACTTACCTGGCACCAGTTACATTTTCTTTTGTATAAGCCCAGTACTTACCTGGCACAAGTTACAATTTCTTTTGTATAAGCCCAGTATTTACCTGGCACGACCCATCGACTAATTCAGCACAAGCATTTGCTCGATCCAATATCAACATTCAATCAATTCAGCACTAGCATTTGATTGAATTGGCACCAACATTCAATCGATCCAGCACAAGCATTCGACCATTCCATCAAGCACAAGCATTCGACCCCTCCATCAAACATTGACATTCGGTTGATCAAGCACAAGCATTCAAATGTTAGCGTCATCCCGTCGTGATCCCGAATACGACAGTCACCACCTCCTCAAGATCCTTCATCAGCACTTCTCTCGGATGTTCTCAATGAAATTAGAGATCTCCGTTTCTATGTTGGTGAACGTTTTGATTCTCTTGACACTCGCATGACTCGTCTTAATGAGAAAGTAAAATCTCTAGATTTTAAAATTAAAAAATAAAAATTATTTTTCTGAAAATGAAAATAAAAAATATGTTTTCCAAAAACTAAACACACCCTAAGTGTCTATTTTAAATTTTAGTTTTCACCAGTTGATATCTTATCATTGTAAACCACCCTGTTTTCACCATTTGATATCTTATCATTGTAAACCACCCTGATTTTATCTTAGTAATAGCAAATGGTTACTTTTTGTTTTAACATTTTATTTGTATACTTTTAGTTATTAATTATTTATCTTCTATTTTAGTTATTTTACATTCTATCTTTTCCTTAAATATGATACATAGAAACTCAAAGTATCTTGATCCTACTTATTATTAGTAAAATAAAAATAAGTTTGATTAAAATATAAATTAATAAAACTATATTAAGTGTTTTATGATATAAAATTTATAATAAATATTTAAAGGTTTACAAATGTTTTAAATTCTTGCGAATAATGTTTTGTTTGGTTTTTAATCCTCACAATTTTAAACTTATAAAAGTTTGACATTTTGTTAGTATTCCCTTTAGCCTTATCATTAACTTTCCTTAGATTTCTCCTAACTAGCACACATAAAATGTACTCATTTGTATAAGTGATTGAGCTGGAATGAGGGTGATGGGAGACTTATTGAATGTTTAAGATGTATATATTATTTTCTGATTTATAGGCCCTTTTCTGAACCGATTTCTCAATAGGGTTTTCTTTGATCATCTTTTGAAGTTCCCTCCTTATTTTCTTCAAAGAGGGTTTTTTTCATCAGGCAAGGTGTTGCAGCAAGTTCTGTAACTTGTGTTTTGTCAATTGCAGATTCTTTAAACCTGTTTCTCAATATAAATGACAGATTTGGTGTCATGTGCAGCTCACTCAACATGTTTTCTCACTATACAATAAGGAGTTATGCATTTGTAGTAGATTTTCTATTTTAGTTCTATAATTTTTTTTATTTCATAAATTTAATGGTCAATCTCACAATAAAAATGAAAATGAAACAAAAAAATTTATAAAAACAAAATTGATTTTTCCATAAAAGGATCAAAATAAAAAAATTCCCTATTATATGCTTTTTGATCATAAATGATAATATTATCATGTAACAACTTTGACTAAATTATTTTTTTATTTATCTTTTTAAAAAAAATCATTTTAGTTGTTAAAATGTTGATATTAATCCTTTTATCTTTTGTATTTGGATGAATTTAATCTTTATAAAATAAAGATCATTTTCAATTTTTCAACATGATTTTAAATTAATTTTTAAACATTTTAAACCATAAAACTCATAATACTAGATTTAGTTATATGAAAATTATAAAATTCAATTTTAGTTTGAATTTAAAAGAACTAGAAATATAATGAAAATATGTGTTACAAGTAACTAGAAAATAATATAAAATTAATATTTTTAAATTTCGTTATTACTTTTTTGACTTATTTTATGTGATTTTTTTAATCATATTTATAATTCTTTTGAACTTTAATTTCATTCAATAGTTTTCATATATTTAGATTTAACGAGACAAATTTTAATTTTTGAATCAATAAAAAAATTTAAAATCATGCCTCAAGATTAAAAATAAACATTATTTTAAAAAAATTAAATTGATTCAAATTTAAAAGATAAATGATAAAATAAATATTTTAAAAGATAAAAAATTTAAAATAAAATTTAAAAATAAGATAAAAGATAAAATTACAATTTAGTCAACAATTTTTAACAAAGATAATTAAATCAAACATATTTTTTTAAAAAAAATATTTATTTTACAAAAATAGAAGATAAAATCCCAAATCAATCATGTATTTTAAAATATAAAAGTGAAAATTATTTTTAAAAAATAAAATTAGAAAATGAGGGGAAAAAAAGTTTCTCAAACAAAAGGCGGGATATCAAATTTAAATGAAAAATAAATAAATAAATATATATATAGAGATATATAAATATA